CTACTTTCCATTCAGAACAGGTACCATCTAGACCATAACCAACTGTGACCAAGAAGTAGGATGAAAGAAAGGCCACCACAGCCCCAAAATCCTTTCTGAGGGTGTATCCCAGTGATCAGAATACCTCCCATGAGGCCTTACCTTTTATTTTATTTTTTATTGTAAAGATACTATACAGAGGGTTACAGTTACATGAGTAAGGTAATGAGTACACTTCCTATTGAGCATTGTTACCCCCTCCATTGTTTTCCCCCTACCATCGCTTCCCTCCCTACCTTCCCCGAGGTTCTTTTTTTTTTTTTGATTGTGATTAAGTGATTACATAATTTCCTGAATTTCACAGTATTGTGGAATAATGATGCTCATTTAAAGTCACAAGTTCCTTCTAACTTTCCTGGAGCAAATTGTCTATCACAGTCAATAACATATAGCACTGTACTCAAGTTATACACCATACATGTGATCAGCAGCATGGGGATATTTAGTAGTGGTTCGACCAGATGAGTGGGAGTTCTTTGTTTTTTAAGTCCTGTTAGTTTTGTCGTATCACCTAACATTTTGGATTTAGCATCCACTTATCAGGGAGACCATGTACCGTTTGTCTCTTTGCTCTTGGCTTACCTCGCTCAACATGATTCCTTCCAGCTCCATTTCCCTGCAAATGAGGCCTTACCTTTTAAAGCTTGCAAACTTCCCATACTGCCACTGGAAACAAGCCTTTTGGCCTTTCCAGAACATTCCATATCCAAACTATAGCAGGGGATTTGTCTGGAATACCAGTCAAAAGATTGTAATGGGAAATGTGTTGGTCTTGGGGATAAATCAATGTAATGAGCCCGATACTATCTATTGAATGTGAAGGAGATGGCCATTGCCAGATGCTAACTCATTCTTTTTGGCACATGCTATTCTCTTTGGTTGCTTGGTTTGGGTGGTACTACCTGAATTTGCCTCTTTCTAGACTTCTTACTTCTAGTCCAGGGGACACTCTCCAGAGCTGATTGCTTGCTTTGTACAAACCTCTCCTATTTGGATGTTACTACAGACTGGCAACCAGGAGGCTCCCCTTGGATGCCAACCTGGTATTTTCCACTCAATCATCTGAAGCCAAATTATCACTAGACTCAAAAGCAGAGAACATGGCACAAGATACAGAAGAAAACAAGAGATTAAAGCCAATAAACCACCAGATGTGCCTTAGGTAAACAAAGCACTGGGGATCTTGGAAAAGGTCATTTGCCTGGAATTAGTGCATGACCCTGATGGTAGGAGCTCCAACCCCCACTTGGAAAGCCTGAGCTACTTTCCTCTCCTGCAAACCTGCTGTGTGTCTTTGAATAAGTTACCTCCCTCTCTGGACTTCTGTTACTTCAGTAGTAAGTCAAGGTTAGATTAGATCAGTGGTTCTCATCCTTAATAATGCTTCAGAATGCTCAAGAGAGCTTGTTAAATAATACACAGTCCCATGCTGGTGGCTCATGCCTAGAATCCTAGCTACTCAGGATTTGGGGATAGTAGTTCAAAGCCAGCCCAGTCAGGAACATCTGTGAGACTCTTAATTCCAATTAACTACAAAAGCTGGAAGTGGAGGTAAGCTCAAGTGATAGAGCACTGGCCTTGAGCAACAAAGCTAAGGGCTAGCACAATAACTAACCCAGAGTTCAAACGCCAGCACCTGCACCAAAAACAAGCAAAAATCCCAGATTTTCTGATGGGTATAAGGAGGAGGCCAAAGAACTGGTATTTCAAAGAAATTCCAAAGGCAAGGGGCCCGCTGGACTAAAGATGCTGGAGAGTACATGGTCTTTCAGCTAATCCTCTCCACCTCTGATCTTCCCTGACTATAGTGGGTATGGAGGAGCATAAGGAAATGTTGGCACCCCAGCCAGCTCCGTCCAAGATAGCGTAGCGTTCTTCCACCAGCCAGGTGACAGGTGGAAGGCAGGATCAGGAAGGAACATAATTGCTGTGTCACTCAAACAGTAGCTGTTCCATTGAACCCGGATGTGGGGAAACCCAGCATCAAGACAGCAGGTGGGACCCAGGACTTTTCTAAGTTTCCTCCCATTCTCAGGCCGAGTCACTCTTTCTGTTGCTACATGCAAAAGCTCCAAAGCAAAAGGCCACAAATTGAAAATGTGTTTTGGCCCACACTTAAAATGTTATTGGTTTCTAATGTTTACGAGTTGGGAGACTTAGTATTTAATTCCAGATTTATCTTGGAAACTCTGAAAGTCAAACTACACTGTACTCAGGTCCAGCAGCTCCTCTTGGAGTGAGAGCATGCCTTTCCAGCTGCCACCAGCAGCAACTGGCCCAGGACCTGGCTCATTCATCTTCCCACCTTGTTCCTGTAGAGGGCGCTTTTGAGGTTGTTACCCTCATTGTAAAATGCACTCTGGGGATGTCAGAACAGTAGAGAGCTGCACATAGTTTGCCCCTAAGGATATAGGAATTGCTTCTGGGCCTCAGGTTTTTCACCTACATGTAAGTGGAACTCACTGCTGTTTTATAGCAAATTTATGGAGGTATTAGCTATTGTACAACAGGAGGCATAAGGATTTTTCAAGTCTCTGGAAAATATGATGGATTGCTTTCACAAAAATATCACCTGCATCATGATGTAGCAATTCTATGTCCTAAGTATTTTCCTCATGAGAATGAAAATGATATATTTTCATTATATTGCTATAAGGGTTTAGGTGTAGATGAGGTGAGGGTGGGGGTGAGGCATGTACAAGGCCATGGATTTGATCCTTCCACACCCAAAAAGACTCCAAAACATTATGTAAGCTACAATACAAATTCCCATCAACAACAGAAGGATGGAAAGCCAAATTATGGTGTATTTATGCAATAAAATGTTAGCTAGCTATTTAAAAAAAAACCAATTACTTGTACGTGAGTCTCAAAGCACTGACAAGTTAAAGAAGGAAGACACAAAGACATAATCCCATTTATATACATTTGAACAAAATGCAAAGCTAATCTAAGTTAATAGTTATTCGATTCACTTTGTGAAGATTCTGGATTACACTAAGGATTAAATAAGCTTCCAAGGATGGTGATATAGTTTATAGTTGGCTAATGATAAAAGTTTGCATCTGTCAAACATTACTTTGTCACTTTTCCACGTAGGCCTCAAACTCTCAAACTTCTGTGTACACTTCTAACATGCTGAGATTATAGGCTACAATACCACATTGGCTTGATTTGTAAATTTTATACTTTTTTGTTTAGAGACAAGTTCTTGCTATGTAGTCCAAGCTGGAGTGGTCCTCCTATCTCCACATCCTAAGTACTAGCATTACAGATGTGAACCATCATGCCTGGCTTAAAATACTGCTTTAAAAAAGAATTCTGACATGTGTTAATGGGGAACATAATATAATGAAAAAGATAGGATGGATCGCCTCAGTTGAAACACAGAGCTAAGTTTAAACACTTTTTCCCAGTCATTAGGGACTATTAGAGGGAAATGAATCTACATCTTAGTTTGTTCATCTCAAAAGTGATGCTGGTATGAGCAGCAACTTGAGTTGTAATTAAGAGCTCACAGTGTTACACATTTAGCCTGGTTTCTAGATCTCCAGAACCAAACGTGTCCTAAGCATAGGTATAGGTATTTAGCTGCCATGAAAAAAGGACTTGGTTTATTTATAAAAGAAATCTGCCTTTAACCCCATGAAGATTTTCAGGCCTTGGAAATACCCTTTATTGATTCCTGCTTCAGTAACATGATCCAGAAAAAGGAATTCTTGTTCTAAATAATCTACAATTCAGAAATGCATAAAAATCCATCTGTAGAGGGAGTTTCACAGCTAAAGCCATTATTAGGGTTGTGTCCTTGGCTAGGTGTCCCGTGGGCCCACATCCCTTTACCCCATAGTCCTTTGGCAGGGACCAAAGCCTGAGATTTGCTTCTGACTCCACTACTCACTGAATGACCAGGGCATTTTCTTCCTTTATAAACTAGAGGCAATAACCTGCTCACTTAAAAGTTGTAAGGAGATTGTAACAATGAGATGTACAAGATACGATGTTGAAAACAAACTTTAAAACATCGGAGGTTGGGGAAGGGAGAAGTTGGGGAGGTGGGATGGCAAGGCATGGTAGGGGAAAAACAAAGGAGGGGGTAACAATGCTCAACCGGAAATGTATTCATTACCTTACGCGTGTAACTGTAACCCCTCTTAAGTATCTTTACAATAAAAAGTAAAAAACACTTTAATGAAAAAAAATATTGTAAGGAGACAGCAATTTCCTTAAGGCCTACATTTATAATAGTCATTGCTGTAAGAGTAAGGCTCAGAATAAAAACTGACTGAAGAATACTTCTATATCTTTTGTCCAAGTGTGATTGTGAATCTGGTACTAAGTTATGGAAGAATTTTATTTTGACAAACAGATCTGTACAATTTGTCTGGTCTAAAAATATCCCAACTAAATAACTGAATGCTTTTGTCTTGCCTTTGGAAGAAATAGCTCTGAGCTGGGAGCCAGTGGCTCACGCCTGTAATCCTAGCTACTCAGGAGGCTGAGATCTGAGGATCATGGTTCAAAACCAGCAGGAAAGTCCATGAGACTCTTATTTTTAATAAACCACCAGAAAATTGGAAGTGGTGCTGTGGCTCAAGTGGTAGAGCACTCACCTTGGGCTGAAGAGTTCAGGGACAGCACCCAGGCCCAGAGATCAAGCCCCACCCCACGACTGAGGAGAGAGGGGGGATGGGTAGGGAGGGAGGGAGAGAAAAAGAAAGAGCTCTGAATCATATGTATTGATCAAGATATGTATTGATCAAGATATATATTGATCTGCTCAACAAGGATACCTGAAACTATCTACTCCTACCTCTTTCAGAGTGGTAGCAGTTCTGCTGTTTTAATTACCTTATCATCTTATAGCAGATGCTAATATTGAACTCCCAATATGTCTTAGAGATCTTAAGTATATACATACACATGACACAGTAAAACATTAAGTAATTTTATTCTTTTTTTCCTTTATATTGCTAACAGTAGCCCAGTGTTAAGGATGTCAGAAAAACTGAAGAAATAAAACTTTCAGTTTACATAAAGTATGTATAAAAATATCTTTCCAAAATAGTATCTGACAATTACATTGCCCAGTTTTAACAATGCAAAAATAAGAATAAAAAAAAGCTGTAAAACCAGAAGGCTAGTTTTGTTAAAATTAATTTTAACAATTTTAACTAACCCAACTGGTACTAATGAAATCCAAGTTAAAGTTACAGCCAGATAATGAGAGAAAACACTGTGTGTGGCTACTTAAAAGTATTCCTCAAGCAAAATCTGCTTTGTGCTTAGATGGCTGGATTTACAGTTTCAACAGGAAGCAGCAATAAAGGTTGTGAAAATTCCTAACTTTTCTAGTAACCGCTCTATAATCGCAAGAAAAAAATGAAAATACTACTACCACCTTTTAACTGTTGATATCAAAACTGGAATTGTCAGTATACTAAGTAAAGCTATTAAATTTAAAAAAGTCAACACAGTAAGACAGTTAATTACTTTTGACTTGTAAAGCTCCCCCAAACAAGTATTTGCTTGCTAGTGCAACAGATTTAACCTACAGGCAGTAGCTATCTTCGCTTTGTCAAGTATTTCAACAGTGCAAAACATTAGTAGTCTCAATCCCCACTGCTCACCACATCTGTCACTGCAGCCTGGTGATCCACTACAGAGAATAATCAGTGCCAAGGAAAATGCAAAGCAGCATTTGGGGAGATGCAGTGATTTCCAGGCACACCACTACCTCTGGTGTCAAAGGTAGATGGGCAGCTTCATGTGCAAGAGGTGGCCTATGTAATCAAAGATGTCCCTAAGCAAACATAAGATACAGTATTGAATCTTTCTGCACAAAACCCAGCAATAACGATTCTGCTACTCAGAACAGTATTCAACGTGGACGAGCAGATCTCGATGCTCGGTAGCTGGATACTGGACATTGCACTTGGGACATTCTACCAGGCTTTCATTGAGTGCAGCACTGGGATTTTTGGGTGAGGTAATTTTTCTTCTGTTTTCACTTTCTCCTTGGGAAGCAACAGATGGCTCTGTGAAGGCAAACTCATGAAGCTGTTTCTGAAAAAGTTGCAAATGAACACCATTTGTATACAAGGCCTACTGCTCAGCAACGTTAACTGTATATCTGCTAGCTGCTTTAGCCCTTAAGACATTTTCTCTTTAAAAATCTCTGCTTGTCAGGATTTTTTGGTGGCAACATATGAGGTGGTTATGGATTACCCAGAGAATTATTATAATTGTTCAAATTGCCCAGAAAAGTACTGCAGTTGGATGCTTATATAAATAAATATGTTCTGTTAAGAAGCTAAGAGTCAAATATAAAATGTGGGCATGAAGTTGGACACTGGTGACTAACTACTCAGGTGATTGATCTGAGGATTGTGGTTTGAAGCCAGCCAACAGAAAAGTTAGACTCTTATCTCCAATTAGCCACAAAAAGCTGGGGGTGGAGCATGGCTCAAGTGGTAGGGTATTAGCTGTGAGCACGAAAGCTCAGGGGCAGTGCCTAGGCCCAGAGTTCAAGCTTCAGAACCAGATTATTTTAAAAAAAAATCTGCATGAGGTTCACTACATTTGCATTTTTTCTAATAGTCATTCAAATCTTTTAAATTAGTATATATTATACCAACAAAGGGGTTTCATCATAACATCTTCATACATGCATAACTTCGCTAGTTTTATAAAACAGGCAATTTTTTCAATAAAGATAGATTCATAAACTATAGATCCCAGCACTGAAGAAGCTGAGGCAGAATGATTAAGAGTTCTAGGTCAGCCTGCTCTATAGAGTGAAACTTCATCTCAAAAACAGAAACAAACAAACAAAGAATGACATGGAATTAAAGCCACTAAGAATTTTAGCAGACAAATAGTTTATATGCAGAAATGGAATCTTTTATTCGTTTTCCTTTTTCATGTTTTTTCCTTGAAGAATTCAGAAGTCAAGAAAGTTTAAAAGTGAGTACGCATATCTATCACACTATGAAGACAGTAGGGACATAAGACAACAAAACTACAGATTCTTTCATATACCCTCTGACTTCCTAGACTTTGAAAAATAGTCATTAGTAGAAGTGATTCTAATCTTCAGAAATTATACATAGTCAAAGTTAATGGCATAGTAAAGAGCTAGGCACACCTTTTCTTTCCTTTATTCATATGCAAATTATGTTAGTTTTTTGACATTTGCTTTTTTCATCACTTGAAAACCAAAGGGTTATATTTGGATGCTTTGTGGTATTTTTTTGCTTTTTTCTTTTGTCAGTTGTGGGGCTTGAACTATGGGCCTAGGCACTGTCCTTGAACTTCTTTTACTCAAGGCTAGCACTCTATCACTTGAGCCACAGCACCACTTCTGGCTTTTTCTGTTTATGTGGTACTGAGGAATCGAATCCAGGGCTTCATGCATGCTAGGCAAGCATTCTACCACTAAGCCACATTCCAAGCCCTGTGTGTTTGTTTTGTGTGTTGGTACTGGGGCTTAAAGTCCATCTAATGATCTCTCTTATCACTTCACTTCCAGCATTTTGCTGGTTAACAGAGATAAGAGTTTCTTGAATTTTTCTCACCGGACAGGGTTTGAACCAGGATCCTCAGAACTCAGCCTCCTAAGTAGCTAGGATTACAGGTGTGAGTCATTTGCTATTATTAAAATGTTATTTAATGTAATTAAATGTTATTTAATCTATTCTAAATATTCTTCAGTACTAGCATACACATACATACACACACAGAGAAAGATTCCAATAGGTTTGGTCCAAAAGCTCATTAGTAAGATGAAAAAAAATAAGTGAAAAGAAAAATCACATCTCTAGTGAACAATATTACTCAAAAGAATTATGTTTTTGTAAGGTCAGCTCCTGGATGGCTAGCAGACTCCACCCTCCTCGCAGCAAAGTCTCCACCCAGTACCTGCGTTACCTAGGCAACTGGGACACCTGGAAGAGGTCACATCTACATCCAGTGAGGTCACATCTGAAGTTGATGTGGCCACACCTTTCCCCGCCCATACCCTAGATAAGGCCTAGTGCAGGCCCAGGCTCTCTCTGTTCTATTCTAGCTCTCTCACTGTTCGTTTTTAGCTCTCTGCTCTCTCACTGCTCTCTCTCTGCTACCTATCTCCCTTTCTGTTCTTTTCTAGCTCTCCCTCTCTCTCTCTTCTCTCTCTCCTCTCTCTCTCCCCTCTCCCCTTTCTCTGCTGCTCTTTCCTCTCTCTTTCCCAGCTCTCTCTCATTCCCAGGCCTTTCCCAGCCATGTGGAGTGCCAACCTTGCCTGGTCCCAGCAGGTCTACTGAATAAACCTACCCCTTACCTGAATACCACGTTGAGTGCTGCTGTTCTTACTCGAGTACCTCTTTTTAAAAACCTAACAGTTTTCATGATAACTAGGCTCACACCTATAATCCTAGCTTCTTAGGAAGCTGAGAGTCAAAGGACTGTGGTTGAAAGTCAGCTCAGCAGAAAAGTCTGAAGGACTTCTCCAAAATAACCAGCAAAGGGCTGGGCTGGAGGTGTGGTTCACGTGACAGCTGAGCTCCAAGTTCAAGCCCAGTATCACACAAAAAAAAAGCTTATTTAAAGTGACAATCCATTATCCCTAAATACAAAATACTTCTAATAGAAAAATGTAATTTCGGGTCAAAATTCTGTGATGCCCTCTCTCCTATGCCTGTCTTCCCAGGCAGGTGTAAGTGGAGAATCAAAGCACCTGGGCAGGGGGAAGGGAAGATGATCTTGAACACCTGTAAGGTGACTGTTTTAAGAGGTACACAATGTCCCTCTTTCTAAGCTCTGAACTTATGCTCGAAGGGTAATTGCTTCTAATGACAGGAGTTCTGCTTACAGATTGGAGATGAAGCCAGCTATCCCAAGTAAGCTCTTGATTTGAGAACTAATTTGACATATAAATAGAAGTCAGAAAGATGAGCTAAAACCTGAAGTTTTAGGTTACCCATTTGAAACTCACCAAGGATTCCAATTGTGTTATTTGATTACTTGCTTTACGAAGTTCCTTAAGAATTACATGTAGTTGATGTTGCATATTTTGCCGGTCAAGTTTTTCATTTTCAAAGTCTAAAGTACATGCCTGCATCTAGAAAATGCCCAGGACAAGACAATTATAGTTGATAGATAGGATCCAGTTCTCCTGAGTGGATGCCTGCACTCTTTATTAACACAAGAAGAAAATGCATTATTTTACTCTCATAGCAAGAATTCATCTGACATATAGTGAGATGTTAATAGATGAAGTTTAAGACTGAGGACTTGGTTTGTCCAAGAAGCAGAGCCATGATTTGAGGTACGAGTAAGTAAAGAACAGCTTAGTACATTGATGTTTAGTATTATCCATTCAACCCCCCCTCCCCCCAGCCCCCTTTATTTCAGGGATAGGGAGGGAGAAGCAAAAGAGAGGACTATCCTTAGATTGGAATATAAAAACCCTTGCTCACACCAGGCACTGTTCATACCTGTAATCCTAGCTACTCAGGAGGCTAAGATCTGAGGATCATGGTTCAAAGATAGCACAGGCAAGAAAGTCTATGAAACTCTTATATACAATTAACTACCAAAAAGCCACAAATGGAACGCTGGCTCAAAATGGTAGAGAACTAGCTTTGAGCACAAAAGTCCAAGGACACCATCCAGGCCCTGAGTCCTAGGACTGGAGCAAAAGTGTGTGTGTGCATGTACACGCACATGCACGCAAGCGTGCGCGCACACGCACACACACACACACACACACACACACACACAGAATCTCTGCTCATTCTGACAGTAAATGGTACCTGAATTCTGCTTGAAATTATAACGTGGCCCTATTTAAGAAACCATGGTAGGCTAGAGTTAATAACTATAGCCATCCAGGGAAGAGCAAAATCTGCTAAAGCCAGCAATTACCTGGCAAGAAAATGTCATTATATCTCCAAAAACTGGTTTAGTCTAAGGAGAGTACCAAGAATGTAAGGCTAGTACAGAGTCTCTAGAGATTTTTTGTTAGTCTTTTAAAAATACTTTTTTTCACAACTATGAATAGTTTTCCACAGACCAGTGTAAACAGCAGGAAAAAACTACATTTTCTAGCAGACCAATGTGAGTTTCAACGCAACCCCAGCGAGTACCTGTTGTTCCAACAGAGCCACCCTTGCTTGTTCCTCTTGCTGCTTTAGCAGAGACCTGTAAAGAAACCGGACCTGTAGGATGCAAAGAGAACCAACATTGTCTCATCCAACCTTTATCTCTTTCCTGGGATGCCTGAGGCGCTTACATTAGTCACATATCTAACCAGGACAACACCTGTTATCTGGATGACTCATTCCAGATGCTTGTTAGATGGAGCTGTAAGCAACTGGCTTCAAGTACCTTGAACTACCACACTGACCACTGACACTCTGTGGTACTTTCCTGGAGGCTCTGACATCTGCCATCATCTAGAGTATGACAAGGAAGGGAGTACCTCATCTTCTTAGCTGCACAGCTGGAGCAAAACTTAATCATTTCTACTTTGTTTTGCCTAAGTGTCCCTATTCATGCCTACAGATAGGAAAGCAGTAGAGATGAAGGAATATGTTAGCTCGGTAACTCGCTTTCTCTTAATCTCAGCTTTGGGATGATTTTAAAATTTATGATCGTAATAACAATAACCTGACACTTACTTCTTTTATAAAGCATTTTTCATTTCCCTGACCCTCACAATGAATGGACCTCTAAGGCAAGGAGAGGTTATTATTCCTTTGATCAATAAATCCCATATAGGTCAGAGAAGGGAGATGATTTGCCTAAGGCCACAGATGGATTCCAAGTACTGTTTTTTTCCATTACTCCATGCTGCCAAGCAAAATTTAAACTAATGGCTTTCTGTGAAAGTAGTATTCATTTCTAATTATCCCCACTCTAATAACTCTAATATTAAGACATCCTGGCTCAAAGTTTTTGAGTATAACAAGAACGTGGAAGGGACTATGTGAAGTCACTAAGCATAGTACTGGCATGATAAAGATGCCAGCTTAGAAAGAGCCTTGATTCTTCTCACAACTTTACATCTTTCTTTGGTCACTTCCTTGTCATTCAGAGCCTTCATGGGTGTGATTTCCTCCAATGAGGGGTAATCCAAGTTACCTTTCTGACAAATCTTGGTTCAAATATATCTCCTCAGTGAAGTCTTCACTAGCCCCCAATTTCTCTTTATTTCCTTTACTCTACTTGCTTATTTGGGTACTTCTTTTTGATCTGTTTCTATGCTAGAATATAAAACTCCTGTGAGGGGCAGGAAGCTGTTTCATGCTTGTTCTCCATTGGTTAATACAGTCTCTAATGCTTGGTAGGTGCTCAAGGAAAATTTGAATTCTGAATCATGGTGAGCCTTCCTTGGTAAGCTTACCTGAGATAAGAGCTCTTCAGATCTCTTCCTCTCTTCTTCAAGTTTTTCCCTGGCAATATCATTCTCTTCCTTAAGTCTTTGTATTTTCTCTGTTTTATGCCTGCTCTCTTCCAGCTGTTGTACATCTGCATTTCTTTGTGAACGCAACAGCTTATTTAAATCATGAACTTCTTTTTGAGTTTCTTCATATTTTCTTCGAAATTCACTAAGTTCAAAATTCAACCGAGTTATGGTTTGGCGTTCGACCTCAAGATCTTTTTTGGCATTTGACAAATGGTTGTAATACTTCTGCTTCTCTTCTTGAAGAAAAGCTGCAGCAAACAACATTGTGACACAGCTCACTTTATAAAATCAATGATAACCTAAGAAATTAAACTTCAAGCATGCTTCTACAAATGAGATCATGTCATGTTTTCAGCTTTTAAAATGAAGTCATGAGATGGGGGCTATGATTGACATTTGATGGATCTTAAGAAATAGCAATTTAGGAATATTATTTGAAGTTAGAAAACAAAGGAATTAAAAACAATCATGGAATGATTTTGTGACAGATGTCTAATTAGTCCTTGATATCTAAAGATAAATGAATAGGAATGTAGCTCATTGTTTATAGATATGGAAATAACAGAATTAAAGACAGAAGTGTTAACATGTGATAGGAAAGGTGGGGCAGAGTCTTTCTGTACTATTAGGTTACTTTACTTTATTAAGTGTTTATACCACTCTGAGAAACAGAGAGCAAGAAAAAGGGGAGGAGAAATAACACTATATTATTAAAGGAAAAAAAATAAGGTTTAACTAACTCCTACTTTAGTATGTAACAAATGTATAAAGGTGTTCAGGTATTAACTCTGTCCTGAACAACTTTGAATTATGTCTAGAGACACTTCCTTTATATTTTCCTTTTAATATTAGCTTTGTTTTAAATATTCAGATGTGAGTCTGGCTCCCCTCTCTTAAGCCTTCTATTCATGTAATTCAAGACTCCCTTTCCCTTACAGCTTATAGGTTTTGGGTTAATTTTTTTTTTTTTTTGTCAGTCATGGGGCTTGAACTGGGGGCCTGGATGCTGTCCCTCAGCTCTTCATCTCAAGGCTAGCACTCTACTACTTGGTCCACAGCACCACTTCCAGCTTTTTCTGCTTACGTGGTGCTGATGAATTGAACCTGGGGCCTCATGCATGCAAGGCAAGCACTCTACCACTGAGCCACCTTCCCAGCCCACAGCTTCTAGTTTTTTAAGCAGTGTGTTTTGTTTTTTTTGTGTGTGTGTTTTGTGTGTGTGTGTGTGTGTGTGTTTCTCTTTTATCCCAGTTCATTAAACCTTGAAGTGCTAAAACAATTTCTTCTGTAAAATGAGACTAATGGTACTTCTGTCCCACCTCTTAGGAGTCTTTTGGGTGCTGTCAAACTGACAACTCTCTCAGCTGAGGTCAATGTTAGAGAAGCTGCAAAACACATGTCAAAAAGCATCATGAATAAGAAACTTCATCTTAAAGCCATAGTGAGAATAAAATGGTTGAAGAATGATCTATAAAACACATTTTTTTCTCCTGGGTTTGATAAGAGTAAGTGCTGAAGACAAAATGAGAAGATAACCAGCCAGCAAGGCCAGCTCTGAAGAAAATAAAAGTAGAAACAGACTTGGAAGGAAGTGCCATGTTAAGGGTAGAGGAAATGTCACATGATTTCTGAGCTCCTAATCATAACCCCTTCACCTTTGACTTGTGCCTTCTTTTGATTTGAAAACAGGAAATGGGACAAACTTGCAAATGCTATTTCCAGCTTAGAAAACATGTTTTTATTTTACTTTCTAACACATATTCACCCAAATCTAACTTTGATGAATCACTCCTTTTAGAAAAATGTCAGGCCTATCCAAAAGGAAAACTTACACTAATCAGTACCTTCAGATTCAGTCTTTTGTGTCTGCTGTAGGAGTGAAGGAGCAGCTGCTCCTGTTTTCTGTTCCAGCTCAAAGATCTTTGCTAAAAGTCCTTTAACGTAGACCTCACGCTGCTGATCATACACAAGCCACTGCTGATTCTTCTCGAGGGCCTTGAAATGAAGAGGGAAGAAAACCAATAATAAAAACAAAATAATAATAATAAACAAAAACAGTAAAGCACAGGGGAGATCAAGTGAAACTGCTTTTCCAACACATAAAATTTTTATAGTGGTAAAAAACAAGCAAATCGAGGCTGGGAAGATGGCTCAGTGGTAGAGTGCTTGCCTTGCATGCATGAGGCCCTGGGTTTGATTCCTCAGCACCACATAAGCAGAAAAAGCCAGAAGTGGTGCCGTGGCTCAAGTGGTAGATCACTAGCCTTGAGCTGAAGAGCTGAGGGACAGCACCCAGGCCCAGAGTTCAGGCCCCACAACCGCCAAAAAACATAAACAAACAAAAAACATGTGAACCAAAACATTGAACTTTCATCTCACTCAGGAAGAATGGCCATCAAACAATAACTTCGGAAGAGGATGTAGAACAAAACATAAGGAGCCTTGTAGGTGGGAATGTAAATTAGTGCAACCACTATTAAAAGCAGCATGTTCAGTCCTCAGAAAAACCCAAACAGAATTACCATATGATCCAGTGATACCACTCTTGGGCATGTATCTGAAGGAATATTAGTGAGGATACAATAGAGACACTCAATACTCATGTTCACTGCAGCACTATTCACAATAGCCAAGTATAGGAACAACCTAGATGTGGTATCTGCCGGGTGCGGGTGGCTCACGCCTGTAATCCTAGCTACTCAGGAGGCTGAGATCTGAGGATCATGGTTCAAAGCCAGCCTGGGCAGGAAAGTCCGTGAGACTCTTATCTCCA